TTTTAGGCAAATTTATAATGTAATAAGAGTTCATTTGGGAGGAAATAAATATAGCTAGAATTTAAAGTTTTCCTTAGAGAAGAATGTTAAATGTCACTTCTTGATACAGTAGTTGGGCATACATTAAAAGGCTGCTTTTATAAAAATGTAGCTCGTTACTGGGATCTGGACTTAGGTCAAGAAATTCTTTCTGCTTAGACTGCCAAACAATTGCATTAAATATCATTTACCACAGAACTTTGACATGCCGTCCTGCCAGGTACACGGTAACTTGTTGCAAAATCAGTGTATCCCAACCCCAGACAGCATATTTTAATGTGAGATTTTCTGTTGTTTCCTGAATATTTCATCATTAAAATACAGAAAAGAAAGGTTGGCAAGTAGTTCTGTAAAGATGTGAAGAGAAACTGATGTTAGAATGGTAATTTTACAAAGAAAACTTTGAATAAAAAATACAGAGTTGAAAGATAAAGCCAGAGGAATTGAACTGCCAGAGCAAAGTAACCATCTTAGGAAATGTGTGCACATGTGTGTGCAGAGAGAAGTGTTTTCTGTGTGTGGCAGAAGCTGGGAGTGGTAGTGTAAAATCACACAGCTGCCTGTAGGATCACGGTTTGGTGATAAAGAGTACAGCAGGTCAATAGTCATGAGCACATGAGCACAGTATAAAGACATGATGCATATAAAATAAGTGTTTTAATACACTGCAATACTATATGGATCAAATTTCAAATGTAAGAGCTTAAAGATGATATTGAGTTGGAATTGAGAGAACTAACAGTGGCAGTACAGAGAGGTAATATGTACAAACCCACAGGACCAAATGGCTTAGTACACTTTTAGAATCATAGAACCATTAGGGTTGGAAAAGACCTTCAAGATCATCTGGACCAACTGTCAACCGACCACCAATGTCACCCACTAAACCACATCCCTAAGCACCACGTCCAACCTCTCCTTGAACACCTTCAGGGACAGTGACTCCACCACCTCCCTGGGCAACCCATCCCAATGTCTGGCTGCTCCTTCTGAGAAGAAATGTCTTCCCTGGTGCAACTTGAGGCCATTCCCTCTAGTCCTGTCACTAGCTACCTGTGAGAAGAGGCCGACCCCCCAGCTCCTCACAGCTTCCTTTCAGGTAGTTGTAGAGAGCAGTAAGGTCTTCCCTGAGCCTCCACTTCTCCAGACTATACAACCCCGGTTCCTTCAGCTGCTCCTCACAGGACTTGTGTTTCAGGCCCTTCACCAGCTTCGTAGCCCTTCTCTGGACAAAACTTAAAGCAGAATGACTTAATTGCATTTGAGTAAGTGTGAGACCATGTATCACAGTGAAGTCAAAGTGGAAAAGGACCTCTGGAGACCTTGTGTAGAAAGCAGGGCCTTATCCAGGGCCCTGTCAAGCTGAATCTTGAGGATTCCCAGTGAAGGGATTTAAAGATGTCATGAACTTCATCTTCACAAGGGTTTCTATTGTAAAGGGAGGTTATTTTCTGGGAAGACCATCATTAGGACTATGTATGTGCACTGTAACAAGAAGATACACCGTAGCTTTTAGCTCAACATTGTTGAAAGGATGTTGAACCATGGGAACATTGCAAAAGAAAGTCACCCAAAATGGTTTGAGATCTGATGAAGTTATTTCTCTCCAAGAAACACTTTTTTTTTTTTTTTCATCATCTTTTGACCCTATGAAAATAGGGACGGTCCTCAATTAAGTGTTGTAAGTCTCTTGAAACAAGAGAAAGTACTGGTTTTATCTCAGCTCTCCAGAACAGCAGTGAAAATCATGAGAAAATCTAAAGGTTAGAGCTGGAGAGTTAGGCAGATTCAAATCAGGAGTAATGCACAACATTTTTCACAGTATAAATGATTCATTATGCTGACAAATTATCAAGGGAAACAAGAAGTTCTTCATCTCGCTAAATCTTCGAACTATGACAGGTCGCTTTTCTAGCTGATATGCTTTAGTCAAACAAAAGTTACTGATGAATAGGGCTAAGTGGCAGAGATTTATTGGTTCCTCCTTGGCCTCGGTTATGCAACTGAGGCTCTTAACTATTCATGCAATTTTAATTTTTCAGGGACTGTTCATAAAGAATTGAGTTTGACCCAGCAGGTTTTGAATATAGCACTGTAACTACAATGAGCTGTTTGAGAAATAATAAATTGCCTTAGTTATTAGAAATAGAGGTTACTTGAAAATTTAGGATACAAATATGAGGTGTAAGTGAAATATTGCAAGAAAAATAACTATGGTCAGTAGAATTAGGGTAAATAGAACTTGCTATTTTTAATTAAAATACTAGTATATATTGTTTTATCCCAGGCAGGGTACCAATATATAGCCATCATAAGCAAGCACAAGAAGGGCCTGAGTGGTCATTGCCTCAACAACTTCCCAGACTCACGATGCCCTTAATTCAGAGGAATTTTCTACTTTGACCAAAACTTTGAATTTATCCTTGAGTATTCCGTGGGAAAATTCTTGCCTCCATCAGTAAGAGTTCTGGCAAGATTGGGGATCTCAGGATCAGTTCACCCAGAAATTGTTACTTCATGAGGTACCATTGAAGTGCACATTTCTTTGTGCACTGCAGCATGCAAGTAATGGGTCTGGCTACAGTAAATGTTTCTGAATATGGACAAAACTACAATGCACCTTAAATCAATCAAGAGAAAACCTACAACCAAATTATTCCAGGCCATGTTGGGATAAGGAAGGGAACAAAATCCCTTCACTGGAGCAATGTTCAGTCATGCATAAAAATGTACGTGGAATGGGGTATGGCACCGCAGTGACAGTTACCTGTTGGTGCTGCAGACCGAGAAGTGGGAGTCTGGAGAAGGAAGCTGATAGAGGTCAAAATGAGGTTTGAGGGGAAGAAAGAGAATGAAGTGGCATAGTCGGAGAATCATTAAGGTTGGAAAAGACCTCCAAGATATCTGGTCCAACTGTCCTACTACCACCAACATTACCCACTAAACCACGACCTAAGTACCATATCCATGGATACAGCTTCTGTTAGGAATAGCGCCAGAACTGAGAAAAGGACAAATGCTGTGTTTACTACTGTAAGATGGGAAATCTCTAAACAGAAAATAAACTTTGATATGTTCTTCTAATCATTGCAATATGTAGAAATAAAAAGGGGAGGGAAACAATGTATTGCTTAAGCAGTGTTTTAGGCTCGAGGTATAGCACAGATCTTGCTGAAAGGCATACACTGTTTTCAAATGGGTTAAATGAAGTCATTCTGGGCTGCAGAGGTGATTGCAGCAGAAGAGCTTTGTAACCCCAGGGACTGAGGTGAGTGCTGCAGAAAGCTGCTGGTGCAGAGGAGCCAAATTTTAGTAGCTGGAAAGGATGCCATGAATGGTGTACAGGAGGTCTGTAGGTCTCTGTCCTGTGTGTAGCCCAGCTGCAGGTAGGTGTGAGAATCATCACTCCGCTGTGTGGATAGTTTGGTTTTGGGCTAATGGCTCCAGAGACCATTTCAGCCATATCTGCTTGAAAACACTCCTAAAGGTGAATAGATAGTTTTCTTTTAAAACTTTACTGAAATCATCAGCAAAAGTTTTCTTTGCAATTTGTAATTTCCAATCATATGAGGTAAGAGATAGTATTGTCAGTTATAAATTTGCTTGCCATCTCTGCTTGCTTTCTGTAATTGCAATGCCTCTCTTTCCTGCATTCTTAGATCTTGCTTCTGTTTTGAGTGAAATCAAATTTATAGTAAAAGCTAAGCATTTTCTCAAAAAACTTGTGTTCAGTCTATATACTCTGTCCAGTCTAGGTAATTTGCATTCATAAACATCAGGTTATTGCTTTAAACAGTAGCAAGCTTTGCTGTAACAAGCATAAAAACTAGATTTTCCCTGTGGCCTGGTGATGGACTTTCCAAGTTTGTGTGTACCCCCACAGAGGTTTGTAATCTCACTGTCAGCTGCATTGGCTCTGCAAATAAACAGAGGAGCTCATCTCCGGGCTTATCAGTCTTTTGCTGGAGTTTAAATGCAGGGAATGTGCATTTTTTTAATTAAAAAAAAAAATAAAATTAAATGAGAAATTAGAAAAATCATCTTCTTTTTTTTTTTCTCCCCTGAAATTTCAGCCCAAATAAATTAATTCAGGTAAGAACAAAAATCAATGTAAACATTGTCATAGACTCAGCATGTACCTTTTTAAACTCTCACTTATTTTGCCTTTTTTATATTTTGTTCTTTGTTTTAATTGAAGTTCATGGTATAGAAATCAGAATTTCTGAAACGCTGTCTTGGAATTTTCTTCTCAGCCAAAAATGGGAATACTGCAATTCTTTGGAAGTGCATCTTTTCATGAGAAGTACCTACTTTAATATAGGAACTATCTACATTTGGATTATTTTCAGATGAAAAACCAGCCACATTTAAAAAGATGAGTCAAGATCTAACGCTGTGAATCTGGGTTTCATTCACCAGCATAGTAAATACTTGGTTAAACTGAAGCTCTTCATTTTTGGCACCAAAATGTCATTCATTAAATCTCGTAAAAGGAAACTTTGAGTAGAAGTCTTCTGAAAAATAAAATTTATTTTCTGTTTTCAAAAGTTATGATCTAAAATGTTTTCTCACAGTGAGAATATGAGGTAATATATAATATATATATATACTGAGAATATTTCCCTATAACTTTCATTTCAACCAGTAGTTCCTCCCTTTAAAAGGAATGACTGTATTGTTATTAGAATAGAAGACCAAGGTACGCGTCAGTTTCTATTAGAAGTGTTTTAATTCTCCGTCTGACATGAAATAGGTAGTTTAAAGGAAAACAAAGCATCCAGAGAAAGTGCTTATGAATCAAATATATAGTAGCTCTTTGTTAGAGTCATCTGCTGGGGCTGAATGTGACTTGGCACAAGCTCTGGAGCTTTGCTTACAACAACACACCTGTATGATGTGGGTGATGGAGTCAACCAATTAATTATTTAAAAGAAAAAAAAAAAAATTAAGTGCCACCTTACCATGTGTTACGGTGTCCTGGGTTTGTCTTTCTGTACTGTTCCTGGCCTCATTCCCTTTGGCGTCTCCAGGTTGCATGCAGGGCTTTGTGGCTGCTGTGAGATGTGCTTCTGCTCTTGATCATACGTCCTGCCTGGCCTGGGTCATCAGCATCCTGCCCACAAAATGACTCCTTTTCTCAGCCTGGATTGCTAGTGCTGTATAAACACTGTGAATAAAACAAAGCTTATGGAAGACCTTTAAAATTGCATGTTAATCAGCATGAGACAAAGTGACCGAGGCTCTAAAGCTCTTTCAAAAGCACATTGGAGTGGGAAACCGTTTTCTTCTTGTCCATCCCCATGATCTCACTACCTGCTCTCCACAGATATTCAGCCTGTGCTTTGTTCCACCACTTGGTGAAACCTCAGTTTTATCATTTCTGGTAGTCTCTGCATGTTCCTCCATGGTCTGAAGTGATCAAAGCTGAGCGTGGTGCACCCTTACTTTCCTTGGCTTTTGCACTGTCCTGCCATGGAGCACTGAAGTGAGGCTGACACTTGAATTTTTGAATTCCCACTATCTCTTTTCTGCATAGAAATGTTACTTTTAAATGACTTCCTTTATAAAATATCAAGGATTACTGTCTTCCCATGCAGTGGTGAGGCTGGAGGCCCCAGGGCTGGGAGGGAGGGCTTCAAGAGTGCAGATGAGCCTGTGGAGCTGGGCTGTTGGCCAAGCGAGGCCTTCGGTGTCCCTTGGCCGTCCCGTGCCAGCGGTGGCATGAACACAGGCAGGAGGTGAACCCCAGGGTCAATGGTCCTAGGGGAAGGCTTTCTCCCACGGCATATTTGTGGAAATCTCTTGTATTCAGGCTACAGGAGGACGGGAATTTGGCTCTTGTTTATGCTAAGGGAGCATATTTATGGCTGCTGCCAGTGAGGCACTTCATACAGCAGACTGCTATTTGGATAATGAGGCACTGGGATGAGGAGAATTTCAGAGTTCATACCACTTTTAAAGTTCATGTAATGCTTTTAAATACTAAAAATGTGACTTGAAGGAATGTCTCTGTGCTGTCGTGTTGCAAGAGTAAAACAATAGTGCATTTTACTTGAGACACTGAAAATATTTTCCTCTTTCTACTCAGATTGAAATATATTTTTAGCCACTTGCCTGAACATTCAGCAAGAGGCTGATGAACTGTTATGGACTTTTAGTGTTTAAGTTAAGTTAAGTGGTCCTGTTTGTACCTGGATGGAGAGACATTTATTTTACTGTGAGAAACAAATCTTAACATGTGCTTGCCTTTAATTTTCTTCACTGAAAGATGAGAAAACTCATCATCCTGAATCAAATTGGACATCAAAATGTCACTTCATGTCTTTAAAAAAAGCCATGATGTGTTCCACCTGACATACAAGGGTATAGAGTTCTACTGTGGTCTGTGTTACAATATGCACTGTTTGTTTTTAACAAAAGCAGCTATCATTTTAGAAAAAACACACAAATATTAAAATCATTTTTCTGCCTTGGTTTGCACTCTATGCATATCCAAAAGTTAGTGGTGTGATATCCAAAAGCGATTCATGTGACTCACACAGAATTTAACATCAGTACACAGGGATTTTAATAACATTTTGATGTTCGTTTTGTTCCTCAGCACAGTTTCAGCAGCTTTCACAACACCCATGTGAGCAAAGCATCGCAGGTGGGATTTTGGCTCATTCCTCCAACAGTGCAGATAAGCTCCAGCTAGAAAGTAGGAATTTCTCCAGTGAAAAGAAGTTGCCAGGTGTTTTAGGGCAGATATGTCCAGCTCTACCCAATTACCTCAGAGTGGTTCTGCAGGATGAGGTGGAGGGGTCATGGCCACAGCCCAGTGGTCCATGCTGCCAGAAGCTTCCTGGGGATTAAGCAGGAGCTTAGAAAGCCCCGGGGCTACTCATGGTCATGCCAGGGATGTGACTAGTTCCAGGAAAAGGGTCTGTTATGGGAGCAGGGGGTTAGTCATCTCCCCACTCAGCTCCCTAAGTCCAGCCAGACTGTGTAAGTTTGGTTATGATAATTTTAATAATACTTGAAAAGCTCAGATATTGGTTCACTGAGGCAGAGGGGTTTCATTTGACAGGCACTCAAATAAAATCAGATGAGAATGGTGTAAAAACCGTGAAACTAACGGCTCTGAAAATGTCCTTCAGGATTTCTACTTAAAGTGGAAAAAAAAGGAAAGGGTGATTTTGCTTTTTTATTAAAAAAAAACAGCAAACAAAACAGATGGGAGACATCTTAGATTCGTGTCTTCCTAATGTGGAGCACCAAAGGGTATTTTTTCCTGTTTTTCATTTTGAACATGGGGGTGGAGATAGATTAATGGGTTTTGGTTTAGCCTCCAGTTCTTACATGTCTTGCACTTGAAAATTGTGTTTTTCTCCTCCTTTATACCAGATGTTACACTCTGGAGAATAATTTCTTTGTATCTTCTAAGTTCACTGAACTGCCTTGTATTTTAATGATGCTGGTTAGGAAATGTACCAGTTCATTTCCAATGATGTACCTAAGGCTGTTTATAGACTGCAGTATGGGATCCATCACAACTGAAATGGCTTAAGAAGATGAAACTTGATACTTTTGGACAGCTGTGTACTTGCACTGAGGAGGGACAATCAAAAGAGGAAGGATGACACTGATTTTTTACACGATGAGAAGTTTGGGAGCTTGCAGTTATTTAAACAATTCCTCAGGATTTGCCAGATCTGAATGATCCCTGGGTAGCAGGGCAGCACACAGTAAGTTCAGATGTTTGATGATTAAGCTGGGTATATGGTAAGGTAATTTAGGTAATATTTGTGAGCTTTTTCTTTTTTTTTTTTTTTTCTTCTTTCTTTCTTTTGCAGAAAGCTTAGTGAAATGTGAATAATAACCCGATGGATTTCTTTTGTGTTCTCTTTGCGGACAGGGTGTAGCTCTAGACATTTCTCTGAAATTCTCAGTTCCATTTCCAAGTATTTCCAGCAAACTCAATGTGAGAGATAATTTACCGTTAGTCACTCCATTACACTTTTTCCTTTGTTTTGCATCATGTTTCCCTGCTTGCTTCTTTCACTTTCCTTTATGCACTCGTTAAGCCCTGAACAAGCTGCTTGAATAAGTTTGTCCCTTAAGATTTTCTGCCTTTAAGTCTCTCTCGCAGACTGGCACATTCCTCTGCAAGCCCTGTGTGTACCATGGCATCTTTGTGAACTAACATGCTGCAGCTGTACAGCTAGTTAGCACAAGCAATCTCACTAATTAATAGAGGCTCCCCTTAGGGAGCAGGATCTACAATTCAGCGCTCACCCTGAAGGAGTTATCTTGATGATGTGTGTCTTGAAAATTCCCACTGATTTTTATGGGAACCCAGAGTGACAAGCTCAGCTGTGGGAATCTGCAATGTAGGTGTTCCAGGTGAGGGAAGATCAGTGGTTGTTTGAATTATGTTGTCTTTTTAAAAATGTTAGGTGGTAGAGTTAGTGCATTACCATCCTTTCCTTCTTTTTCTTAAAGTTTGAGCTGTGTGGGGAAGGGACCATCTAACTTCTTGTTTCCCCAGTGCTTAATGCATAGAGGACACTGTTAGTTAATTAGAGTAATAACAATTTTTCGAACTTGGGGTCGAATCTGACCAAACCACAGGTGATACGATGCAGCACAAGGGCTGGAAAACTCAATGTAAAATTCAGAAGTGTAACAGCTTCCATAACTAAGACAGGATCTTGTCCTATTTAATGAAAAATGCTCAGATACCCAAGGATCTTTTAGATAAATTAGTTTTCAAACGGCTATGTCAATCATTACAAAGCAAAAGTATAAAACACAGTGGAATGGGATGTTTTCTTTCTATAGCAACACCATTATGGCAGTAGTTCAAAAACAAGTAGAAGGAAGAAACAAAATATGGTTGAGTAGTTCAAATACAAGGGTATATAAAATGTCACACAGGGCATAGAATTAAATAATAGCTGGGCAGGATGCCAGGAAGACTTATGGTTTCAGTTCCGAAGTGCTTTTAGTTATTTTATTTTTTTATTTTTAATGAAAATACCATTTTTTTCTCCTATAGTCTTTCCTTGAAGTGCCTCTCATGTAATTGTTTATTAGTAAACAGCTGCTTGGAATGGAAGATGATTACTTTATAGTCATGGTGGTTTCTGCTAGATGTGTTTGTTGATTGGGGACTGGTTGCACGTCTGTTCACTCCAATATAGTCCAGATAAGAATATGTAAGTATGTTAAAATGGGCAAATAACTCACAGAAGAACTGTGCATAAAGACTAGGTAAAACATGATTACATACAGAACTTTTGACTTTTAGAAATACTTAAAATAACTCATTAAATTGTACTAAATATACATGCTTATGTGACTGCTTTAAATTATATAGTATATTTAATTGCTATCTATATATTACCCAGCTATATATATATATATATATACACACAAAGATATAGATTATTACAGACGTTTTCTGAGCTCTTCCTATGAGGTAGATGAAATCTATTATTGTGAAATAAGATATTTGTTTGATATTTAACCACAATAGTGTCAGAACTGCTGATGTTGTCAGTGTTATTTGTTCAAACTGTTTAAAAGATGGGAATTTCTGGAGATAGAAATCTGCAAGACATTTTAACAAGGATGGGTTTGTTAAATTGCAGTTACAGAGTTAACTATTCTTCTGTCACCTGATACAAGTTCTTTCAATGGAATTGTTTTGTCCAATGTAGAGTCAGAGGGGGATTGAAATCAGGATATATAACATTTTGGATAGACTTGAAGTTTGCTAAATAGATGAAAGATGCCAAGCTACAACATTACTGACATTAGTCATCTGAATGTATTCTCACAGCTTTGAATAATCAGGGAAATATTCTTTCTAGGATGTATGAATTGTAAGTTAACACAAGCAGGTCACTACAACAGCACATGATGCATTTGTTTTATCGAGGTACAGAGTTACTTAAGGATAGTGGATATAATAGCCTAAAAGGCTGAGCTTCTATGGACATCATTATTAGGCTATCATATCATGGGTCTGTAGAGGACTTTTTTTGGAAACATTTTGGTACTTTGAAGTGAAAAATTGTAGGTTTTTTTCTTATGCTTGCATAAGGTGAGCAACATAATGACTCTTGTGATTGATAAATGATTGACAATTGGTAATGGCTAAAGGCTAACTGTGAAGAATTG